TTTTGATGTCATTAGGTGCACCTTTCACTACTCTCTAATAGTTTAGTTTGTGATCACGACTTTACCTTGGCAATGGCCTATTTAATGGAAATTAATGCTGTTATTTCACTTTATTACAGTATTACATGACCGCTGTTACATCGAAACTCTCTCCTGTGTTCTCTCTCGGTGAAGCGTACTCGTACTACATACAATTCCTTCGTCTGATGAATGTTGTTATTCTTTATGATCATTGTAAGAGATGATCATAAAAATTTATTTACAAATACAAACGATAAAGTTTTAAATTTTTATCTCAAAAATCCTCCGGATATGACATTTTGCAACGGTAAGAAATCGACCCACGTTAGGGAAAGTTTTTCTTATCTCGACAAAGTCTGAGATGCGAAAGGTTATTTGTGAACCGTCGAAATCATAGGATATTATGAAGCAATTTCCGTTTACATTGATATTGATAATTCTGTTTTCAATATTTGCCATTGTCAGTTTCAAATGACACTATAAAGGATTTAATAGTTCTACGAGGAGCTTTCAGCAATAATAATTATTTTCTCGTTACGAGTTCAATTAAACGTTTCACTTTAATTTTACGTCAAATAGAGCCTTGTCAACAAAGAATTGACTACATCTTTGTTGTTCAAGCATATCAACTTGTTGCTTAATTTTTTCCGTACGAGTAGTTAATCCAGTTTTCGATTATTAGTAATAATAAGCCAAGACAGTATACTTTTAAAAGATATTTTTTTTGCAAATTATTATTGGATTACCAAAACATTCATAATATATTCATAATGTACAAGGTGAATCAAGTTTTGAGATGCACACTTACAAAATAAAACAAGTTTTGAGTTATGGAACCACTGGTTATTTATAACAATGTTTTTTATTTGTTTTTGGTTGCATTTATACATTTTTTGATTTTATGGATAGTTTGTATCAAAGCAGATCAAATTTTTTGTCACTCTTTCAGTAATATTGAAAGAAATATTTGTTTAAAAAAAATCATTCATGTTTGTTTTTAATTTTCCCTATTAGAGTGGTCTGTGATTATGAAATAATGTTGGCAACATTAAATATAAAATAGAAGTAAGTATGTGTTAATTTTATTTTTTTTTTGGTCTCTACAGAATTAATAATTTTAAAAAATTTAACTGTAGGCTTGGTAAAAGTTTTAAAAAAATATAATTTAACTATTTGCACACCCAGTACATAAAACTCAATTTGGGACAGAAAGGATCACATTACGTGCGAATTTTTGGCGAAACTAATTAACATCACTTAAAAATTTTGTCAGCTAAAAATAGAAATGTTTCATATCTCTTTATTAAATGGGTAATAATTATGAAATGTCAACTTTAAATTTAAACCGTTTTTTAACGATAATTTTAAATTAAGGTTTTGTAATGTAATTAGCTTTATAAATACGTCCCAAATGATTTAAAAATTAATTTTAATTATAAGTGATGGTCTTGTTCTCTATATCATTTCTACTTAGAGAACACTGTGATTCTGAAATTAATTGGGCGACATTGCAGTTATTGAAGATTTTATTTATTTTTTAATATCTTAACGCTTCTTATTAATATTAAACTTACATCGATTAATAAAAGATTAATATCAAAATTTTTGTTTGTATTTTTTAAAACCACTCGAGTGATATTACTGTCTTTTTGAATCAGTGTTACCAAATTCATTTTATAGTCGTAGGCCACTTTGCTTGTTTTGTTTCCTATTTACAACAATTATTTTTTGGCTTAAATGTGTTTATGTTAATCACAGCGACTATCCACTTCTGGCATAAAATAAAAAACTCGTAGTAAACATTTATTTTCGCAGATAAGGGCACGCGTTAGAGTTAGTTACCTATATACTTGGTGATAAGTCGTAATTATCACGTAAACATTTCTACAAAAGTCCAATTTTGGAATTTTACGTTTCTAACTAAAAACGAAATTGAATCCAACAATGATTGCTGTTGTATTTCGTCGAAATTGTGAAACCCTGGCAAATTAGTGAAATGAAACAAATCCAGGTCACCATTCCGTTTATAATCTAAACACTAGTAAGTGCATCAATCAATAAAACGTCCATTAAAGCACGTTTTCGAGAACGTAATTCCTATAATATCTAGCCAAAGTGCGGCCCAGTTTCCGAAATTGATCGTCGAGGAGACGAGTTAAATGTGCACTTTTTTTAAAATTACAATGTAGATGGAGATTGCGGGGCACGTGTCGAAAGCAGGTCAGAAGAGGAGAGGTTGTGTTGGACAAAACAGAAGAACTGTGCCTTTTGTTCGATGTTGCGCCAATATTAGGCAACTGTTTTTCTTTTAGATTTTAAATGTTCTCACGCAGTGCGTGTATTCATTGTCCGGTGATTGAATTACAAAACGGGGCACACATTGGGCAAGTCGGTGGTGCAGCAGTTGGTAAAACTCAATCCTTCAAGTTCGACATTAACGATGATCCTAAACCTACTTTACATAATCCACTTAGCGTTAATTCTTGTTAATTAAACTGAAATTGCAACACAACAACCGCATTCGCAATTATAAACATCATGTTTTATAAAAAATTATTGCAAAGATGAATCTTATCTTGTCTAGTGGTGATTTTTTCACTTTTATAGTTGCAAAGCGATTAATAAACTCCCCAATAGCCTAGTTAAGCAGCGCAGCGTGATGTTTTTATTCCTGGCTTTATTGCATTTGTATGGTGCAACAAGACAACCTACGTCTGGCTATGTTGGTTAATTTTTAATTGTCACTAACTAGAGTTGTATCTAGGTTCTCTACTAAAACAATGGATTTTAAAAAAAGTTTAATTTAAATAAATTTAAATACAAATGCGCAATTTTAGGTTTTTAGGGAAACAACTTTTCCAATACAGATGAATGAAATGCGTGCAAACAAAGTACAATTAGTACGCATTAACTAATGATAATCATATAATAAGTACATTGCTTTAACACGAACAACAATAGTATGATGTAGCAATTACACATAAAACAATAGTTGGCCAGCTATTTGCAGAAGTTCATTAAATCAAGCAAAAAATAACTTGATGCATATCGTATCCCGCTGCAACGTAAATCGAGGATTAATTCGGGTTGATCATCTATCAATTGACGGAAAGTTTTACTAGACATTACAGTCGTATTTTTGTTTTAATAAAGTATTTCACACTTGATGGCAGTAATAATGTTTGTAAATTACCATAAATTTAAAAACAGGTACTATTTTTTTTCAACATTTTATGTCTTTAAATAAAGATATGAAATGTTAATAAGTGTTTGGTCCCGTATTATTCATCATCTTACTATCACTTAAAAAGCAACTTAAATCGCAGTTATTTCCAATCATAAAAATAGTATATTGTGTTATTAGAAGTAAAGGTGATAGTTTATGTGGCGAAGCTGAACGATTATTTTGCCGAACGGAGTGAGTAGTAAATGTCAGGTAAAAGTGAAAAACGCTTAGGCGAAAAAACAGTGTTTTTACTCCATGTCTGAAAGGTAAAACTTTTACATAATCGGATTATCGAAATATGTATACTAGAATTATTTAATAATGGTGACAGACATAGTAACTGGCATAAAGAAATAAATAGAAATAGAAAAAAAGAAACACCATTACAAAAATACTTTTTTAACGTTTCTGGTTCATTTTTCTAGAAGTCAGAATCAGAAATAATTTAAAGGACTTTCTGACCTGACTTTAAGTTATTTTCTAGAAAAAACTGGATTTAGGTAATTAATATTGAACGCAAAAGATTAATCCAAAAATTATTCAATTATATAACTTAGATAACTACCGCTCAAAAAATTTTCAAAAAATTTTTGATCTTCGATCAACTAATATCAGAAGCCGACAGTCTTAAAACACGCCATTTGATTTGGTAAAAATAAAAAAAACGCCTAACACGTCACATTTTTAATTAATATTTTTTTTATAAACGTTAACCTAAGGAAGGCATTGTTATGGGAAATAAATTGAAATTTAATTCTTTACTACTGATTTGTAATCGCAAATCAATTTATTTTCCGTTTAAACAAGTAAGAAAATTAATACTTTATGTATCTAAGACAAAATTGCCCTAAACTTAATGATGGGAAAATCCGAGAAGGAATATTAGTAGGAGCAGGAGCTCAAATCTCGAAAGTGATCCATAATGAAATTTTTTTCCTACATTTTTCTAGAAATTATTAGAAAATTGTATGACTGCCGAATGTCTCTAAAAGTGCACTTTCCAATTCGATTTCCTTCAACAAAACTTAAGGAATATAAGTAATAAAAATGAGCGTTTTCATCAAGATATCAATGCCATAGAAAAAAGGTATCAGGTTGTATGTATGGGATTCGACAATGATGGAAAACTTCTGCTGCAGGTTTCTGCAAAATGAAGACTTTACTCCTCATAAAAGACAAAAACGAAATTCCTAAAATATTTTTTTGTTAAATTTGTGTTCAATTTATTACCTAGTGTTCCATTTAAAATTAGAAATAGTTTAATAGATTTTTTTAGTTCGGTCTATATCGTGAGTGATTACTTCGACCACTCTTTAAATATGAAAACAAAAATAACAAAAAATCCTTACGTGATGGAGAATTTTGGTGATCATTTTTAGATTTTCTGAACAAAATTACATAGAATACAGGTATTTTTATCAATGTTAGAAAAAAAAATTGAATAAATGTCGTCTAGTGACTCAAAGGACAGGACCCTGTTAAAAGTTGTCATTATTATTAGAGAGGTTGGAGTATATTTTTTATTTTTTTTATGTACACATTTTATAAAACCATAGACATCGCATGGCAAGAGGTAATTTTCGATACTGTCATCCTCTCTAGAATGAAATTTAACAACCGGAAGTTTGCAATGATGATAGTGAGAATAATACACAAAAATGGACGAAACTATTTTTATTCCAAAATTTGTAACAATAATTATTATTGATAATAATAATAACAACCAATTAGGTTTTAAGTGTTAGTACACGTTGTATGATGAAAATAAGGAAACGTTTATTTATTTGACCTTGAAGCTATCAGCGAGTCCCAAAATTGAAAATAAATACATAAATTTTACAAATACTACCGCAATTATTGATTTAACTGAAAATAGGAAGAGGAACTCTGGGAAAAATAATCAATCGATCAATGTAGTGTTTTTTTGATCATCACTATGAAATTTAAAATTGTTGGAATTTTATACTGAAAGGAGAATTTCTAATTGGAACTGTGTGTGGGATCCAGTGTCCTTGTACCGAATTTGGCCCTAATGACCCGGTCACTTTTGGTTTCCGTTACGTCTCGTCTTTACTCCGTAGCAGATGTTGCTTTTCCCATCCGTTGGGCACCTGTTCATCAATATACCTGGCCTAGAAAGACACGGTCTAGTATGCTTCTATTAGTGCCGTCGTCGTTTCAAACCATAACATTCTGCTGCAGAAGCAGGCGAATCAACTTTCTCTGCCCTTGAAATGGTTGCATAACGTGTTATCGGCACAAAGAGTCTATTAATAGTCTTGCATTGGCCAGATCAGTGTGCCAATAACAACAACGGTGTCGACGTGTGCTGCGTGTACGCGCACTTGGATATCGTCCAACCTTTGAGGCTACAACAACCTACAACAGACGAACTCAAGGGCGAAGATCGTTGCATATCCGCGACGAGTACTATTTACCTTGAGATCGTTTCAGACGAGAGTCATACGAAAGCGAGGGCGGCGCCTTCACCATACTGCCAGAACGTATTTTTGGCGGAGGCCGGACGTCGAAGCGTAAACTGGAGACGGTTTCCTGCAAATGCAACAAAGGGTAACAAACTCGAAATTCGAAACCAAATGCTCATCTTGGTCGACTTTGGGAAATAAACCAGGTCTTGTTTGGGTGTCACCAAACTTCTTCGCTCAAGTTCTCAATTCTCACTGAATATGTTTTTGTTTGTTTGAATAGTTTATACAAAAAAATGCTTGGCTCAATACTTTTCGTATATGAAATTTTGTATTAAAACCTCGATTTGAGAAAGCAAAGGCATTTTGGTCTATTGTTAACAGGAACTTTTTTCGAGACAATGAAAGGAGCCAGGAAAATTAGCCGTTTGCACAATTGTGATATAGTGCCAAAAATCACGTTCTAAAATGACTTTATAGTTTTGCTAGGGGTTATAAGCAAAATGGTCGATAATTTACGGATTTTGTTGGTTGTGAAATCAAATTTTTTGATCGACTTCAATTGTTTATTGGTAAGGCTCGGATTATACAGGGTGAATATAAAGTGTGGAACCAAGCGGTTTTATTTTTAATCATTTGCCCCCAGAAATTAATAATTAATATAAATTAAAGTAATATAAAAAATGTGATCATATTTTCAGAACGAATTTTGTTTTGTTTTTGAGTTATGCGATTTTTTTTTGTCAAAATTGCAATATATGTGAAACCTTTTTTTTCGAAAAAATTAAATATAAAGCAGATAGTTGTAATCCTTAGAGTATAGCTTTTATGAAAAAAATGATTTTATAGTGGGTTGCCATTTAAAAAAATATTTTTTTTTGTAGAACTCAAAAACAAAAGAAAACTTCGAAAAATTTTATTCTTGTTATATCATCGCATTTTTATAGTACTTTATCACTCATCAATTAGTTTTTTCAAAAAATAAATAGTTTAAGCAAAAAACGTTAGGTTCCATACTTTTTATTCACCTGGTATATGCAAAATGCATATTTGTTATTAAAAGGTATATCAACAAAATTGTAAGTTCTCTATGCATATCTAATGTTTTTTGATTAAAATAAGCCAATTAAAAAATACATATTTTGGCAACTTCGTGCATATTTTAGGAAATACCTAATGCATATTTTCTTCAAATCACAAATTTCCGATTAAAAATTTCAGTTCAAGTTAAAAATTGGCCAGTTTAAGAAAAATGATCCGATTACAAAATATGTTAAAGAGAAAACCAGTAATTCGTAAGCCGGACTCAAAGAATTAGTATCTTGCTGAGTGTTTACTTTTTAAATTCGTTTTATACAGGGTGAATATGTAGTTTAGAACCAAACACTTTTTTTTAATTATTTGCTTCTGGAAAATAATAATTAATATAAAATAATCTGTTGGTTTTTTCAAAACGAAATTTTGCTTTGGATTGAGTTATGCGATTTTTTTTTTGTCAAAATTATAATTTATGTATTTTTTTTTAATCAATAAACAGTAGATAGTCTCTAACACAGTTGTTTTTGGGAGAGTATCCAAAACATTTTTTAGTGGGTTGCCATTTAAAAAAGTTAAATTTTTTGTAGAACTGAAAAACAAAAAAAAATCGAAAAATTTTATTCTTGATAAAACATTTAATTCATCAGTTAGTTTTTTTTAAAATAAATAGTTTAAGCAAAAAATGTTTGGTTTCATACTTTTTATTCACCTGATATAAAACGAATAAATCCTTCTATGTGGATAAGTAGTTGCCTGCAAATGAATTTTAGCAAAATTGTGTAAAGTGATGTGATCTGAAAAGTACAGATTTCTTAGAAAGGCTTAATTACTAGGTTATTAAAATGGCTTGTCTGAGGCAAAACCAATTTATTCATTCTCTTCGTTCATTCGTTCATCGTGTGGGGTTCAAGATGATGAAAATACAAACTTTAGTGTACTCGAGGATAAAAATTTATTCCAATTTTGATTTTTTATTGTTAAAAGTTTTGCATATTGATGCATATTTGGCATATATTCGAGCATATTTCTTAATATTTTGTGCTTATAATAATTGCTTGGAACACTTTAATTGGCGAATCCTATAGTAAACAGAAATTCATAATTAAACTTCGTTTCCAATAAAACTAAAAATAGATTCGAAAAATAAATAAATCAGCATTTGTGGAACAGTGATAGAGCACAATAATAGTAATTACACTTTGACGGGAAGCAGCAAATTAGCTATGAAGTTTTGTCACTCTTTGATATTGACTTCTTTGAAGATTTTAAATAAACCTCAAACTTGAATCAGACTTATAGTTTCAAAATGATTATGGGAAAGTTTCCATTAAATTCGCCTGTTTCAATTGCATTTGGACATTCCTGCTAGTGGATACTGTAATGAAAGAGTGAAATTACATAGAATCATGCATGCGAGTTGATTGTGCTAATTATAGTTTAAGAGACTTAACTTCAAGGCCACATATGTACATCCACTAGGTTGTTTATTTCGTGTTGCTTTTTTATTTTTCTTATTACGTACGTAAGATACATTATTGGTTGCTCGTTGGGAATTCAATTCCATCAAGATTTTTTTTTTAGACAAATTGCTTCTTCACGAACGAGATGACTCATTTTATTGGAATTAAGTAACTAAAACTTTAGTTGAAAAATATCGAAAGTGATCATCGGTTTACAATGATGACTCAGGTAAAATAATTTGCATAAATGCAAGAATTGTTTGATTTTTGTGCTTTAATTTAATCTGAAAAAATAATTCCGTTTGATGATTTAGTATTGCATAATTTTTTGTCAGTATGTACATAAATTTGAATTTTCGATAAATCCGAGGAAAGAATAAATTGCATTGTGCTGTCTAAATCAACTTATTTGCATTGGTTTTATCTAAATCTGGCGAAATTCGTATAGGATTCCGGTTGTGTTCGTTATCGGTTAAAGACTTCGAAACCTCCCCAATTATTTACAATTTGTACATCTACGGAACCTCGAAGCTACAGTTAATGGTGGGTCGTTTAAAGCTCGTCGAATTTCCTTTTGTCTTTCATAATACATGTAATTTACACATCAGACGACAATTGAAAACTCGCCTATTTGCTCGGGAACAAAAGTGAAATCGAGATTTAAAACAGAACTGTTGAAATATGTCTGTTTTGTCTGTTTGAACTTTCATTTCGGATGGCGCATGCATATTGTTGATTGGGTAATGTTTTACTGGTTTATGATCCGCATTTGCCTCCTATCATTTCGGTGTTTTATCTCCACGATCGCTTATTATCTGAAATACGTGCCGGTCCCAGAGGCGAGAAAATCAAAATGCTGCATTAAATGCCAAATTATAAAGCTTTGTACCATTTTCATTTACCAAGAGAAAGGTTAGCGCGATCATTTTGTTTGCCTTTTTATGATGGTTGTATTGATCGTTGAGTTATGTAATTTTGAAATTTCCACATTTTTTCACTCGGATAATTAACACGTGACCATAGCAAAGTGTGTTAAACAAATTGATTTAAAGTCTAAAAAGTGCAAAAATGGAAGAACTTCACTCAATATTGATTTTTTTTTTATTTCGAAAGCTGAAATCATTTTTTAAATTGACGTAGGGGATGACTCCAACTTTGAAAGTAGGTCGACTCTATTCCATATCACGAAAATTATCTTGTTTTGTGTATGAAAAAGAGCTTTGTAGGTACAAACGAAGCTTGTCTATACACTAAATTGTTGAGTAAGGAACTTGCTGATAAAACGATCCTTGTTGGCAGACTCTCGCCTACTACCACATAGGAAGCGTCAAATATTATCAAATTTTATAAACGATGATTTATGTCGTGACATGCTCAAACGTTTAGATAAAAATTAAATAATTACTTTGACGATAACAACTATACATTTGTTCAAAATAAAATAAACACACAGCAGACACAACTGAGACTTTTTATCTTTTCTTTGTAAGTGGACTTAATTTTAAAAACTCATAAAATTTAGATAATTCTGAAGCATCTTTTTGATAGTCATCCAGGAATGTAATCTTTACGTTTTAAAATATTTCATTTAGCAAATTACAACCTAGTTTATGTTCGTTTGATTTATTGGTTATTTTCAAAATAAGAACTAAAACATTGTTTTCTTGAAATTAAAATGGCGGTTTGAGCAATTTAGAAAAGTTGGATATTTACTGTAACCCCACTGTTTTACTGTCAGGATTTTTAATTTTTTTGAAGGATGAAGAATAATTTTAAATTAACTCAATATGTGCTAATACTTTAATTTTTCTTTATAAGTATTGCAAAATGCAAGTAAATTTAAAATGCCAATTTGCATATCTCGTAAATCACAAGATTTTAAATCCGAAAAAATTTTGATAAGTTGCGTACAGTTGCGGAAAAACAAATCCAATATTTTGTTGTTATAAAATATCCTGAAACTAAAGTTTCTAATATGTCATTTTACTGTAAAACGTCAGTGTTGTAGGGTAGAAAACTTTACTTCAAGACAATGAACTTAAATTTTGTAGACAGAAATAACTGACATTGTCATCCTTGATGAAAACCTTACACTTTACGAATTTTTAAATAGCAAATACTATGCCAAAAGTGAATGTCTTAGTTTTAAGGGCCGCAACTGTACTCCAGGCATAATTTTTAAAGGCCCTCCGCTTCACGGACAGGCTTTAAACATGCCTTTGGTACATAATAATAAAAAGAAGGGGTCAGAAGATAGGAGATATACTTTTCATTTAAAATAATTACTTATTTTTTTTTCAAAGTAGGTATACAGGGTGCGCCAGAACTCGCGCCCCAGAGAAAATTTTCAAGTAAGGTAAGATACTAGGAACATGAAAAAAATGTTTAAAAAATTCTATCTGTCAAAAAATCTTGGACATTTTTTTTTGACATTTGACATTTTTTATATCTATTTAATGATACTGATGATTTTGTATATGTTTTTTTACAATTATTTAGTAAAGGGACAAAAATTTTGCCAATAAAAACCACAGATAACATTAAACAGAGTTACAGTTTAGGATACAGCTTCCTTGTTTCCTCTTTTAATAGCCTATAGCAAAAAAACTTGGAAAAACATTTTTCCAACAGAAATAAATAGAGTCAACGTGCAAACTTTAAACCCTCATAACATCGAAATTTTTATAGATAAAATTTTTTTAACATTTTTCCATGTTCCTGGATCTTACCTTATATGGCATTTTTCTCTGGGGCGCGACTTCTGACGCACCCTGTATATCTACACAAATCTAGTCTTAATTTTTGCACAAAACTTATTACACTTGAAAAAAATTAGTACAAGTACAAATATTTTCGTATTATGAAAACCACGATATTGTGGAATCGCTCAGTTTTTTTTATCCAGAAGGGTTCAGTTGTAATAACCAGATTCTTTTTTTTTTACATGGAGACAAGATTTTTGTGATATATGCCTTTAAAAAATAAGGAAGAACTATAATTGCTTTGTACAGATGGGGACAAATTACTTTGATCGTCAAAATCACTTGAGTGACAGAAAAATTGTCCCCAGTGTTACATTTGAATTCCTTTGTATTTTATAAGTTTTTGTTTTTTTAATTTAAAAATCGAGCAACGTGGTAGAATTTTGAAAGTAACGCCGCTAAAAACAATTAAAAATAATTGGAATAAGTTTATAAGAGAACAAAAAAGTGAAAAATAGAGCTCACAATTTAAAACTGACTACTTTTATAAATCAGCTGGGTTTTTGTTTGTTTATAACTTTAAATGATGCTATAAACCCGTAAGTCGTAACTTGGCTCTAATTTTAAAGAAACAAATGCTGTCTTTTGAGTACTGAAATTACAAATTTTTATTTCGTTACTAAATATGTTGGCGCTAAAACTGTAGTACGTTTTTAGTAATAATAGTAGTGTTTTTTTATACTATTTCTGCTAAGTCTTAAACGACGAGCATGGATAAGAAATGAAATGTTCTTAAGAATACTGCTAGACTATCAACAATCTTGCAAGGAGCTTTTCCGAAAAACTATAATTTTCAATTTTTTTTAGGCAATTTATTTCCATAAAATTCCATATTATTTGTTGACTAGTTAATTATTTGATGTAAGCGGCAGTACCAATGAAATGACGTCCGTTTTTTAGTTTTTTTTTTTAAATCATTGTGACTTTTTTGTTGTAGCTGTCCGAGCAGACCGAATGAGGGGCGGCAGGAACAAATTCGGCCCCATGTACAAACGAGATCGGGCACGAAAACTTCAAATGATGCGACAACGACAGTTGGCGGCGCAAACATTAAGGGGAAGCTCTCTTGGGGACGCTATGTACAACAGCCAACCAGGAACATCACCATTCGCAAACATTCACATAAAGCAAGAAATCCAAATTCCGCAAGTGTCATCGTTAACGTCATCACCAGACTCGTCCCCCAGTCCCATCGCCGTCGCTCTCGGTCAAGTCAACACCTCCAATCTGGTCCAGCAAGCGTCCAATCAACAGCCGGCCCTGCAGATTGTCGGAGTGCCCGGAGGCCCCTCGTCGATGGTGATGGGGCCCGACAACAAGCTCTGGGGCTCCGCCAATTCCACCACCACGTCGCCCCATTCTCTCAGTCCAAAAGGGTTCCAGTTTGAGACGGTGGTTCAAGGGGGCAGTGCTCCACCGTCGAGTAAAGTGTCACCGCTTATCAGGGACTTTGTGCAAGCCATCGACGATCGCGAGTGGCAAAACTCTTTGTATACTTTACTCCAGAACCAAACGTATAATCAGTGTGAAGTGGACTTATTTGAACTTATGTGTAAAGTTTTGGACCAAAATCTGTTCTCTCAAGTCGATTGGGCGAGGAATTCTGTGTTCTTTAAAGATCTCAAGGTTTGTATTACGGCAAAATACCACCAAGCTCAGACTTTTAATAGTCAGAAATGAAAAGCAAAAATTAATTTTGTCTCAGTTTAAATTTCCAAGTTTAGTGAAATTTTTTGCCTTATTTTCAAAGTATGTTAAGGTTATGTTATTGTTCTGTTCTGTTGTTCTTATTGTTCACACAAATATTATGTTTGTGTTCAACATTTTAAAATAAAGTCAAGAGTGAGGAAAATTTTTGTCAGATTAAAATTCGTAAGCTGCCAATTAAAATTTTGTTCATGTGAAATTTTACGGATCGCAGGATTAGTTGAAATTATTAGTGTTAACTTTATCTTAAAAAAACACTACTTTGGGGTGATTTTTTTGATTTGTGTCTAATAAATCACTGAACAAATGGTTGGTAATTTAAAAGTGAGACAAACTTTGTCAAGATCTACAGAAATAAGTAAAAACTTGTCTACAGTTAAAAAAATTAATTTGAATGTTTTTTTTTTTTTTCGTACTGATTTTCCTATTTATAGATTGTATGGACGTTTAAAATGACTTAAATTTTTTTCCATAGAAAAGAAATTTAAAAAAGGCATTAATATTGTCGTAACAAACATTTTATGAAAATCTTCTCAAGTAAAACCTTTGAATTTACAAATATTTATTGAAACTCTATACTGAAAGTACTGGCGAGAACAGTTATTTGCTCTTTAGTTATTTTTTTTTTTGAAAAACTCGTTTTCAGTTTAACGAAATTTAACGAAATCGTTTTAACAACACTTTTCCCACTCTGATCTCAAATTGACAAACAAATTTTTTTACATAATTCTTTAAATTGTCGGATTATTTGAATTTTTGTTGAAGAAAATAAATTTTGGCACATCTTAATTTTACAAAAACATATTCAACTTTTTTTCAATATATTTAACTTTGAACCTACCTAAGTTTGAAATAGATTTCTTTTGTTTTTCTTACATTTAGTTTCTGAATTATAAGAATTATTGATTCTTTTTAATATAAAAAAATACTTTGGCCAAGTTTATAACAAGATGTTTGCAGCTTGTGAAGTAAGTTCTCAAAATAACAAATCACATTCATATTTTTTTAAATCTGACTGTTGTAATCAGATAATTTTTTTCTAAAAAAAAAGTCATTTCTAAATTCAGATTGCAGGAATTACGACAATCTATAACACAGAATTTATAAAAAATAATTAAAAAAAAAACTTTATTTGAAAAATGTAGTTTTTATGTTCTTAAATCCACAATAATGCGTAATTGGAATAAAAAAACACGATTAAAATGAAATTAGAGTAGAAAAAAAACACTATTATTATCTGTTTCCGAGTGAGAATTTTTTCAATAAAGTGTAATTAGTGGAATAATTTTGTTATAGGTTTTAGGAAAAATTCAAGACCTAGGTCGCGCAAAGTGAAATGTCATTCACCAGTAAAGGATCTGAAGTCGTTCGCGTCTTATTGGATTAAATTATGCTAAAGTGATCTAATTTCGGCCAAGGCAATCGGAACTGTTATTATTGTATCACCGGGTTGCGCACTTGTTTTTGTCCGGTGAAATTTTGAAATTGGAAAATGATACGAAAGTACAAAAAAGTAACGTCCATGGAAGTGTTAAAATTAAGAACGTGTATTACTTCAAGAATTAATCAGATAGTATGCAATTGGCGACCTACATAGCAATTCAAGTCGAACATCGTAATTGAGCAACTCTAGCTTTACCAAATTGAGCTGTATTTAAATAATTCACCGGTGGCGTGCCTGTATATGTTGAGAATATTGCTAAATGTCGACATGTGGCAATAACAAATATTGCTCCCAGTGACAATACCGTGGCGCTCGTGCATGGCAAAAAAGGCCAACTCGTGAGCATTTTAGCAGGTTCATTATTGAATTTATTTGCTTGATTGCATGCCGACGTCCGGACGTTATCCCCGCCACTGGGTTTCGCTCGTTCGACGTTATGTAGGCCATTGTTAGTGGGTCAAGTACGCCGCAAGTCGCAAACTATTACGAAACGACGGATTCTATAGCAAAAATGGAAAGTGTTCCGAATAGCAAACCGGGGGGAAAGTCTTTGACGCTTCGCTTTCAATATCATTATTTCATTTCGACGCCACTGGACAACTAATTTCTGCTAATGGGGATTTTCGTACGGTTAAGTTGGCTGTCAGCGTGACGAAGCACAAACATTTATAGACTCATCAACCAACTTTGTTTTCATATTATTACAAACACACATTTTTTTATTTATATATTCAATACTATTTTATTTTTTCTTCTGATAAGAGAATTAATATGGAAGTTTTTTTGTTATAAATAATTCAGTACGTTTGCCCCTCGGTAACGACGATATTTTTACAACAATGTTAAAGTTTCTCATCGAGTTTTAATTATTTGAAGGTCGCCATGCGTTAAATTTTTCCCAGAGTATTAAATACGTTCCGTTGCATTCACAGGTTGTGCTTATTAACTTTTAAATTTATATGGTTTTGTCTGGCTGGGATTGAAATACGAAACGTGGAAATATTTTTCAGTAAATTTGTAAATTAAGACGTGAGAAAAATCGACATAATCTCTAGTTAATATTGATTCTTGTCGTCTAAAAATACCGCCAGGACACATATTGATTCTCTTTTGTGTTAATAATTGTTGAAACTAGGTGAAAATATTAAGGTGAAAACAATTCTGACTCATCATGATAATTCAGTACCGATAGAACAGACCGGACATATTGAACTTGGCCTAAATTCGCTGGTCGTTTTCACTTTCAACTATTTGCTCATTTTACATAATCTTACTACACAACGTATTTCATTCTCTGTTTTTTTATTGCTGTCTCTTTCCACGTCACGCAATAGAGAACAAGTTTTAAAATATTCATTTTGTTTGACACAGTTATTTTATTTACAAAATAATTTGAATTTGGTTTATTTCAGTTTCTATTACCACCAAGTGGCATTTATTAATTATGAAATTTTTGTCACGAATTACGTTATTTCAAATCTCAAAATATTGTTTTTGAGATTTTTGCTTGAATCATCATTTATACCGTTTTCTAGTAAATTACCGTTAGGAATGAAGGTCTTATGACTGAAGAGAGATTCGCCATAATTACTTTCTCTATTTATTAGGAAAAAAGCAAGGTTATCTTAGTTATTATTATTTTTAGTTTCGTCCTTCGCAGGAGGAACTCTAAATTTAGCCATTTGTTGTCATTTCGTTTAGTAATTTCGTGTTGGGTTCCAGGTGGATGACCAAATGAAATTACTCCAACATTCGTGGTCGGATATGCTGGTTTTGGATCACATGCACCAGCGCATGCACAACAATCTTCCTGACGAAATGACTCTTCACAATGGTCAAAAGTTCGATTTGTTAAGTTTAGGATTATTAGGCGTACCCAGTTTAGCAGATCACTTCACTGACATCACAGCCAAATTGCAAGAACTCAAATTTGACGTTAGCGACTACATCTGTGTTAAATTTTTATTGCTGCTTAATCCAGGTGAGTAAATTACTTCACGAAAAAGTTTGGTCGTAACTTGTTGCTGTGTTTCAGCATGTGTTTGTCTATAACAACTAAAAAGTGTATTTTTTAGATGTGCGAGGAATCACAAACAAGAAACATGTACAAGAAGGTTACGAACAAGTTCAACAAGCTTTACTCGAATATACGGTGACGTGTTACCCACAAATCCAGGTAATCCAAACCACCATATTTAGAACAACCATCTATTGACGCCATAGATGTAACTATAAATCTGTTTCTCATAGAGTCTTAACAATATTTTAGTTTTAGTTATGCTTGATTTTTAAGTATCCTGCCAGGAAATTCACAGGGGAGGTTTCGCCTTTATGGGCTTCAAAAATCACCAAATATCCATAAGAAAACTACAAATTTCAGTTCATTTTGGTTTTGAGGAACCTACAAAAGTGGAACCTTTTTCTTGAGAAAACTATTCGAGCATACTCCATAATTATAGTTTAATCACTTTATTTCAATTTTATGATTAGCAAACATTTGATATTGTCTTTACAAAACTGGTATACAGTGAAGAAATTTACTATTTTTTAAGGATCAAATTTTTGAGAAACAAAAAAAATATAATTAGTAGCTTCCTTTTAAAAATGTGGCTGTTGTACGTTAATGTAATAACACTGGGCAGCAGTACATGTGTGATTTTTACAAAATCGAAATCGTTTTATGGTTTCTCACTTACCAATCGAAAACGGTGCGTATTACGAAAAAGATGATTATGTACAAAATTAAAGCTTACGAAATTTCCTATAAAACACTCTTTTCGGATTAATTGTATCTTAAATATTTTTCGAAATATTCGCTTGCAAATACGAGTGTATCTCACTTAAAAAAATATTTATCTCACATTACATTGTGGTGTCTAAATCTCAAGTTTACAGCAAAAATGATTGTGGCGGAATTTTGGTAGATTTTAAGTCCGTACTATAGGCTTCTGAAGTTTGCTTTCCTCCAAAAAATTGGGGTTATGTTTCACTTCATGTATGAAAATGTTGAGATTCGGAGAAAATTTTCAATTCCGTAACCTCATTGTGAATTTATGTTATGTTTGTAAGCACACAGGATGAGTAAAACACTATTATTCCTATTTCTATTAAGGTTTCCAATTAAGTCCCTGCAACAAAACGTAAGGTGCAAATTCTCTGACAAAATTTACCCACAATGATCACAACAGAGAGCACACAAGCAATTTTATTAAAAATTGAAATTATTGTAATGAATAAATGCAAATCTAAATTAACCAATTTTGCTATTTTTGAATGAAACTAAAGTCTAAAGTGATTGGTTACTTGCATTATAATAATGGCCGACCTCAAACAGACCAATCCCATCTTTGCTTTACATTTTTGAATGAATTAAAAAATCAAAAGTGATTGGTTTTTTATATTATCATAATAGCCGACCTTAAAATGACCAATCACAATGCTTACAACAATTATTACGTTAATTCATGTTAATTCATTAATATTTTTTAGAGAAGGCGATATCTGCTAGTGGATATCTCGAAAACTATATGAGATACAAAAAACCTGAGAAGACAGTTTGTAGAAAATTTTATAAGTTTTAATTTTGTGCAAAAATATTTTTTCTAACATGCACCGTTTTGTATTTATAAACAAAAAAGCATAACACGACATCTTGGTATTATACTTGCATCATAGTAGAGAAAAAAATGTAAATATTGTTGACCAATATTACATTTGTGCGTTCTAAAGGTTTTAATTTTTCAAGTTAGTTTTTGTCAGAAACAAATTTTTGAAAAATTTTTGGGAACTCTAATGAACGCGTTTTAGGGAAAATTGTTGAAATTATAACCAGAAATGGAATTCTAACCAATTGATAATAATTAGTTAATTACACTAGTTTACAATGTATGCTATTCCATAGATGAAAAGTAGTTTTTTTCTCCAAAGATTTTGAAAACAAAGTATTACAACAACAATACTCTTCTTATACAGGATGCGCCAGAACTCGCGCCCCAGAGAAAAATGCCATGTAAGATGCCAGGAACATGGAAAAAATGTTAAAAAAATTATATCAATAAAAATTTCGTAATTATGGGAGTTTAAAATTTATTTTTGACTCGACTGATTTCTGTTGGAAAAATTATTTTCCATGTTTTTTTTTTTGCTACAGGCTATTAGAAGATTAAACAAGGAAGTTATAACCTAAATTGTAACTATGTTTATGACTTTTATTGGCAAAAATTTTGTACCTTTACTAAATAATTATGAAAAAACATATACAAGATCATCAGTATCATTAATTAAACATAAAAAATGTCAAATGTTAAAAAATAAATGTCAATTTTTTTGACAGATAAAATTTTTCTCTGGGGCGTGAGATCTGACATCCTGTATTTCATTAAATTCAACTATTTCTTTATAATTGTCTTTTTTTTTGTTTTTTTTTTAATGAGAGTTTATATTTTGATATTTTTTTAATACCTTCTTCAGATTTTGCATCAGAAGATTTATGAAGTTGAAGTAATTAGTATCAAGCGGCAGTTTTTACAAACTACTTTTAAGGCATTTATTATTATTCAGATTAATTTGTAACCGAGAATTAAAAATAATGAAAAAAATTGTATTTATAAGCTTGAGAAGACCTCATTTATATTAGGAAGCGAAAAGATGAAACTAATAATAAAATTTGGTTTTGTTAATTAAATAATTATAAAAAACTTGAGATCTCAATGCTGTTTTGAATAGCTAAACAAGACAAACACAATTTATTTTACATATCTGTGGGAGTATTGTATGCTGTTAATTATGTATTTTTCAGTACGATAAGGTCATGATTTTTTACATAACCAGTTCTTCAGAATCTTGGAATCTGTTTTGTAAAAATGGCTTATCTGATATCCACTACAAAACACTACTGCTCGCTGAAATTTTTGGATTTGTTGAATATTTGATAAAATTCAAATTTAAGCTTTTCTAACTTAAATAAAATAATAAAAAGTAAATTTGTGGATATTTTAACGAATATGTGAAGATTTTAAAAAAAAATTAGTGTAGTGAATAAAGAATGGCAGATGTTGCGCTGATTTAGCCGTTTTCCAGGACAAGTTCAACAAGATGATGCAACTGCTACCTGAGATTCACAGTTTGGCAACGCGAGGGGAAGAGCACCTCTACCACAAGCACTGCAACGGCAGCGCGCCAACTCAGACGCTCCTGATGGAAATGCTCCACGCGAAAAGAAAATAACGGCCGTCCGCCTCTTCGTTTTCGTTACCATATCTGTGTGCAATACCAGCTTACGACACTGTACATAGGTTACTGGAAATCTTGTAGTTGTTGAAATTGATGCCTTCATGAAGTACAAAGAGCTAGGGCGGCCAGGCCGCACCGCCACCACATATTTTTATAAAATAGAGAGCGGCCACAGCACCCTGCTCCGTTGTTTAATTTATGATAAATGTTACGTTGATTTAAGTTTTATGAACGACACACACACACAAAACACACATTCCAGATGTGCTCTGGAGGGATTCAAGGGCATCCTAGCGTAGGGTAGCGTAGCTTTTAAGAAGCGCGAGTGACAAATGAACAGCGAACGAATGCTTGCTTGTGGTTGGTTGGATATTGCAGACCAAGTGCACTGCACTGTTTCTTCAACGTTTTAATCTTAGTACGTGTGGGGACCGTCTTCGAGGACGGCTCTTCTTGTTAGCTTAACCATGGTGATGGACTAACAGCTGTAATTTTATGTAATTATAGAAATATACATACTATATATACACAATTTATTACTAGTTATTAAGTTTAATTATATTATAAATATATTTGATTATGTTACATATATGAATGTTAATATTATGTGAGAGCAAGGTACTGTGGTCTAACCTGTGTTATTGTTATCATTAAATTGATAAATACTACTGATTGTTTGTGTTGTGCAGGCTACCTCTAAAGTCTCCTTCGCGTGGGGCCGCTGTGCGAGCCCCGCTGCGCTGGTCAGCGGAGTCTATTTATCTGTTAGAGTATCTTGCCCTGTGACATGCAAAAAGGCCCTGAGCTTACTATTGATTGATCAGATATATATTTATATATAAAATACGTACACTTATTTAAGCAGTGTGATTGAGAAGATGTATATATAATTTATGTGGATCAAAGTGACTTGTTTGTAGAAATAAATCACAGTGAATTAAGTGCAGTTCCTTATTCATTGAAAACCTCTTCAACATCGTTGCTATCTCATTCAAATTCGGAACTGCTAATTCTATTTTAATCATGAGAACTTGAAATATTCTAATCACACGCTAATTAAAGAGTTTCATTGGACCTTGATTCAGGTAAGTTGGGATATGTTAATATTATTTCACAAGAATTTCTGTTATCGTTTTATAATGGACATTCTACACTAGCTCATTTGCGTTATTTATTTAGAGGTGAGGTTTAATGCAAAAAGAGTGTCGCTCGGTTATCAAACATGGAAAAATATGGGCTAGCAATTCAGTATGTGTTCACCAGTTTTATTTATGAAATTATAAAAATTACATTTCTAAAATCTCAAATCCAAAGGAAATTAGGAGATCTGGGTTTAAAATTGCATCACTACGAAAAGCCTTTAGGCCAATAATTTTTATTAATTTAAAACAAGGTTGAGGCTCACGAAAATTTCTGATTTTTTTGTACAAAATTCAATAAGAAACAAACAGAAAAGTCCAAAAAATTTGTGGTATTAAGGGGTCTTTTAGAGAAATACTTCCCCCAAGAGTAAAAACTTACCACTGGCGTAAAATTAAGACACTAATAAGAATTTAATCCAAAGAACGGAACTTGTCAGAAATTCTTTTTGGTAACTCTTGAAATATCTATTTCTAGTGTGGTATTCCGAATCGACGCTTTATGGATGGATTTACAAATATATTTACACAATCTTACATTTTAATAATAGAAGTTAAGTATAAAATATTTCTTACAATTTTTTGTGTTGTGCGCTCGAATAATATTATAAATTTTATGAACAAAGTAGTGTAGTTGTGTTTAAATTGCTTCACAAAGTTATTTTGAAATGCAGTTTCTTTTTCTACTTTTTTGCTCTTCTTAATTCAACCAAAGTTAACTTATTAAGTTTTCGATGTAAATATTGAGTATGAAAGAGAAAACAAAGGTAACTGTAGTGTTAAGTTAGGCAACCCGTAAATCTAAATAATAGTTTGGAGAATGTCTCGATCACAATTTTATTTTTTATTTCGATACTATGAAGACTATGGCCATTACAAAAATTCGCCGAAACATGCAGCATTTTAAATAAACAATTTGAGAGAAAAGAACCAAATAACATTTTTCTCTTATGTGAAGACATTTTATTTACAATTTAATTTACATAAAATACAATAACAAAAAATTTTAAAAACGTGAAAAGAATTACAACAGTTTTTGTGTTTGTACATTTTTACATTCAGGCAATTATTATTTATTTCCTAGAAACAGCTGCTGGTTTAGTGGTTATTTAAAGCTTCTCTTGTATAACAAATTAGAAAATTTACGAACATTTCAGTGTTGGCCATAGATTTTTTATCAATTATTTTATAGTCACTTGTTACGTAAATGAAACACTTATGCATTTATTACTCCTAGAATTAAAAAAAAATCGATATTCTGAGATGCATTACAATGATTTTTTGTGATATCTTAGTAGTCCAAGTTCTTATAAGTTATAACTAATCATTATTATACTAAAAAAATATGAATTGTCAAAAATCTTTAATTTCATTACAATTGTCTAAAAATATTGACCTTTTTTTCTTAATTATTCTGATTCAGTGAAAAGAAAAGTAAATTTTTCTCTTGAGTTTTAAGTCCTATCGCATTGGCGGTTTTATTTATTTGACAACTATATGTCACTTTGATAATTAATTTATTAATTAAATAGTGATAGTTCTTGTTAAAAATGATTTTGGTTTTTATCTTAAATCTGTTTCTTTGAGTTGCTATTTATTAAAATTATGTTTTTCACAAACATTTTTCTTATTTAATTTGCGTAAACTCATTTCTCAAAGTAACATCATTGTCAAAATAATAAAACGCCAAGGTAATAGGACTTAAAAAGTATAGAAAAATTAGAGTTAGAATAATGAAGTTTTAATTACAGATTTGCTCTTTTCAGGTAAACCAAAAAATGTTTTTCCTCTGCAGTTTTGGCGTAAAATCAAAGACAATTTTTTTTCCTCTTCTAAATACAATCCATACAATCAATATATTTTTTAAAAAAGCTGGTAATAATAATAAATAAAGTACTTATTACTTATTATAAATGAACGAAAAGAATAAAATATTAAAACTAAGTTTGGCAGTGGTTAAAAATCTGTAATAATTCCACTTCAACTAAAAATAATAAGTCTACAATTAAATCATTTTACTTATGTAATGAAAAAAATCCTGGCTTCTTAAAAAGTAATTGCATTGGGTTCATAGTGTATCAATTAGAGATTTATTTTTCTCAAAATACAATAAAGGAACATCAACAAAACTTTAATCTAAACTAGATAACGACTTAGAAAAGTTGATAAATGGGAGTGAGTTGGTTTTATTTATTTATAATTGTTTCAAAATTACTTATGTATGGAAATCTATAAAATTCAATAATATCAAATTAATAATTAATTCATTGCACTGCGTATTGAATACCTGTTTCTACAAAAGCGGCAAATACACTTATTCCTTCATCCAACAAAACAAGACTTATTTTAATAATACATTTTTTTCTATTTTTAGAGAGGGCAGTTGACCTAATGGGTCAAGTATTTTTTTGTGTTGAAACACATAAGAGTCGAGTATTCAAGAAGGGCATCAGTCGGGCCAATCGAATAAGTGGCTTCAGTTTGTACGATGCTCTTCTTCGTAACTTTGGTGATAGCACTTGTCCTTTTATTCCTAATTCTAGATACAATAAAACCGAAACGATATCCGCCTGGTAAGTTTTTGCACGATTTTCTTGTAAAAAATTAATTTAAAAATAATTAAGGACCTCAATGGTTACCCATCGTCGGCAATTTCCTCGAATTCCGGCGCCGCCTTTCGGAAATCGGCTACCACCACTTGGTGTGGAAGGAATTTTCCGAGGAATATGGGGACGTCGTCGGGTTGAAAATGGGGCGGAATCTGGTGGTGGCGGTGTTTGGGGCTGAAGCCGTCAAGGAGGTCCTCACGAGGGAGGAGTTCGATGGAAGGCCGGATGGGTTTTTCTTCCGATTACGCACTTTTGGAAAAAGACTCGGTGTGTACCTATTAATAATTAATTGATAGTAAGGGGTTAAGAACTTCAGGCGGGCCTAGGTCAGTGATGTTGAGTAAGGGCAAACCGGTGAATCGTTGACCGGCAGTAAAATAAAACAACCCCATCAAACTCGTTGGGAACCGGTCCCATCCGATTTCTTTTAATCTTCTTTACAAAAAACGATCGAGACTACTTTTTAGGTCTGGACAGAAAAACATTTTGGGGGTCCAGTACTCATTAGTAAATCTAAAAATAATTTCTTGTTTTGGTTTGTTTCAGCGAAAAGCAAGCAGTTTTCAGAAAAGATTTTACGAGTATTAAAAAAGCATTAACTATATTTTTTCTGAAAATATTTTGTAGTAATAGTGTGTCTTCATTATTAAAAAATTTGGAAATAATTTTTACAGCAACGCTCTGTGAAATATTGAACTTTGACCGACACATTGTGATTTTACTAAAAAGGGGGTATTAGAAATGTGGATTAGATACATAAAATAATAAAAATAAGAAACACTCAAAAAAGAATTAAAAGAAAAAAATTGATGACTTTGAAAAATTAATTATCTAATGTTACATACATATTTCTGAATGCATTTCATGGTAAATTTTTAATAGTTATTTTCTATTACCTTTTGTATTACATTTTTCTCCAGTGTTTCGTTTCTATTGGGGAAGTAAAATTTTTACCTCTTTAGGGGTAATTGGCCCGGGTGGAAAAACTACTTTCTGTTATTAATTGGATGATATTTTTGAATGAGAAGAAGCATTATATTTGGACATGATCAATAAAGAGATGCGATTTTTAACATTTGAATTTTTTTATTTATTGATTGATTTTTTTATGTTGATTACCAAAAATCCTGCTTGTGAAAAGCAAAAATGTTTGAACACGAAAAAAATTAAAATAAATTCATAACAAACAAAACGCTATACTTGAAACAACTTTAACTTTTTCAGTAAAAAAATTAATAGAAACAACGAAATAACTTGATCCACAGATATTTCTGAACGTACTTTATGAATAAAAATGAAAACAAAAACGGATGGTTTAATAAGCAATGTAAAATGTTGATTTATTAATAAAATATTTATTAATATCTTTGATCTTTCAAAAATAAGAATAAGTGAAACAGAAAAATATAAAAAACTTTTTCTGATTGGTAATGAGATCTTAAAAGTAAATTTTTCTACAATCGACATATTTAAATTTAATATTTATATTGTTGTGATCATACCTACTTTTAGGTTCGACTGCCTAAAAGTAATGTAATTTTTAGGCACGGAGTGTCTAAAAGAAATAAAGAGATGCGATTTTTAACATTTGATTTTTTTTATTTATTGATTGATTTTTTATGTTCATTGCCAAAAATTCTGCTTGTGAATCAAATTAAGGCAAAAAAAAAATGTTTGAACACGAAAAAAATTAAAATAAATTCAAAACAAAAAAAACGTTATACTTGAAACAACTTTAACTTTTTTCAGTAAAAAAATTAATAGAAACAACGAAATAACTTGATCCACAGATATTTCTGAACGAACTTTATGAATAAAAATGAAAACAAAAACAGATGGTTTAATAAGCAATGTTGATTTATTAAATAATACCAAAAGAACACAAAATAAACGGCTTATTGTTTATAATAATAATTATAAATATAATTACTTCAATTACTAAAAGACTTCTATTTCGCAACTTATTTCATAAATAGCTATTTCAATATTTTGTTTTAATTTTCATACCTATAAAATCATTTGTTAAAATGGTGGGAAAAAAATTTCGCAACTGTTAAAGATCAATGACTAGTATCAGAAAATCTTAATCTTAATTATAACAATAACAGCAACTTATATTATAAGGGAATAAATTGTCGTTTTATTTTTAGTAAGATCTATACAATATTACATTATTACGACCATCTATCTCAAAAATTTTAATTTAAAAAAAATTAAGAAACTAATAAGTCAGTATTTTTTACACATAAGTAAATGTTAAAATGTTAAAAAGAAGTAATGAGCGAGCGCGAGAAATTGGATATTTGCATTTTCGGATTTGGTATATAGCGACTTAAATAACTGAAGTTTTACTGTGTTTTTCAGTCAAAGCTTTTACTGTAAAATATGTTGTGTGTAGAATAAAATAAATAAATAAGAACTTTGTAATATTATAATGAGTTATTGCTTTGTAGAAATAATAAATTTTAAAGAATTAGTTGAAAAGATTTGTTAAAATCTTCAAGAATAAGTTCTAGAAAAATATTGTGGATAAACTCGCATTAACTACCAAAAGTTGCAGATTCAAAAAAATGTGGAATTCATAAAATATCAACTAGTGTTAAAATATTTTTAGGTATACTCGTATTTATCAAAAGATAACAAAAATTTCAACTTACTAAAAATTGGTTTCAAAGAAAGTACTCGTTTTTCACTGTTTTCAATGATTGTTTATTTCCAAAATTCGGAATTTTTGGTAAAGATTTACTTAATTAGAGGGCTTAGGGCCAGTTTCATAATCGAATTAAAGGGACTTTAAAGTTAATGTTAGTTTAGAATGCTGTTATTACGGACTTGTTGACAAAAATTTCAACCAACATTAATGAAAATGAAATGAAACTGGGCCTTAGATTTGTTTAACTAAATCTAGACCAGGATGTACCTATATGAGAAATCAATGGTGTAATTATATTTTAAAGTTTTCTGTTTTTTGTTAGGAATCGTTTTCTCAGATGGCCAATTTTGGCAAAAACAACGCAAATTCTCCATGCAGCATTTACGCAATTTCGGGTTCGGCCGTAAAGAAATGGAGGAGAAAATCGAAGAGGAAACCAAAGATCTCATTGCTGTTTTCAAAAAACAATGTTCGGAGCCCATCTGGATGCACACAGCTTTCGATGTCTCCGTTTTGAACGTTTTATGGGCTATGATGGCCGGCGAGAGATTTAACATAAACGATGAAAGACTTCGTAAATTACTGAAAATTGTTCATGACGCTTTCAGACTCACAGATATGTCCGGAGGAATGCTGAATCAACTGCCATTTTTAAGATTTATTGCACCAGAAACCTGCGGTTATAACCAATTGGTCGATGTTTTGGTCAGAATGTGGGAATTTTTGCAGGCAATTATTTTTGGTTAGATATTTTTAATTTAGCAATTGGCGAATTGTTTCAGGAAACCATTTCTGAACATAGGAAAACACTATGTAGCTCCCACGCCAGAGATTTGATCGATGCATTTCTGCAAAAGATGGATATTCAGAGCGATTCATCTTTTACAGGTTTTTCTTTTTGTTTTTATATCATAATGAAAGAGTTTAGATAAATGTAGTAATTTTTTTTAGATGATCAGCTCATGTCCCTCTGCCTTGACCTTTTTATGGCAGGTTCCGAGACCACTAGTAATACTTTGGGTTTTTCGGTTGTCTACATGCTCCAATTTCCAGAAGTTCAGAAAAAAGTACAAGACGAAATGGATGAAGTTGTTGGGCGAAACCGTTGGCCGACTTTGCAAGACCGAATCAAGTAATAAATAGCCCTCTAGTTTGAACCCAATTCTTATTTAATTTCTTTTGAAGATTAAAATATACAGAAGCTGTCTTGATGGAAATTCAAAGACGTGCCAATATTCCCCCACTTGGTATAGCTCACAGAGCGACACGCAATGTCAATTTATTTGGTTATCGAATTCCTGAAGGTACAATTGTGTTAACCAGTTTATACAGCGTCCATATGGACCACAAGTTTTGGAGGGATCCATTGGCTTTTAGACCTGAGCGATTTTTAAACAAGGACGGAAACCTTGAAGTGGATGAAAAATATTTTGCTCCTTTTGGATACGGTAAACAGACATTTTTTTTGTTTGTAGCAGGGTTTCAGATAAACTGAAAAACAGAACAAATTCTACGAATAATATGTATTTAAAAAGTTGTCGCAAATTTTGTTAATTTAAAATTTCTTTATAACAAATAATTGATCTAAACATTATTTGTAGTCTTACCTAATTTACAATTAATATGACGTCGTTTGTTAATACATTTTATTATTGGTTTTTTGTGGTCTCTGACTTTGAAATTAAGTTGGCAAAATTGTCAATTTTTATATCTGCATTGATCCAACTTAATTTCAAATGCACAAGCTATTTTATACAACACAATAATTATTATCGCATTTTTAATATGTAATATAAAGCAACTTTTTAGGGAAACGACGTTGTTTGGGAGAATCGTTAGCTAAGGCTAACTATTTTCTGTTTTTTACCGCTCTTCTTCACAATTTCCATATTGAAAAGGATTGTGGTGGTCCTGAACCACAATTAGAAGGTTATGATGGAGTAACTATATCACCAAAACCGTTCCGAGCTAAACTCATCCCAAGGACTGATTAATTTTTGAAGACTAGAACTAGTTGTAGGAGTATATTTAATATTTTTAAGTTTATTCTATAGTTTTGAAATTTTTGTAAGGGCAAGGTGAAATATCGTATACTGTATAATGCTTCATATTCATTTAAACCTGTTACGTATGTTTATTTTTTAGTTTAGTTTATTTAGTTTACCAATTTCTCAAATTATTTTGTATCTTAATCATAGCAAAATTAAAAAAATTAAATATTTCCTTCTTATTTTTTCCACAGCCTGTAAATATTGTTTTGTTGTGTTATTTAAGCCGGTCTCGATCAAAAGAATATGTTTAATCGCCTGTTAACAAAAAACAATTACAATTTCTGCAGACGATGTAATACAATACAAACAAAACGTTAAACATAATTAGTTGTAGTTTACAAGTTGAAATTCCAAAACAAAAACATGTGTTTTTGTATCGAGTTTCGGAACCCAAAGCAACAAATGAAACCGGATATAATACTCAATACAAAACACTAATTAAATAATGTATTTTTAAATGTGAACAGTTGTTTTGAAAAACTTGAGTCCTTTCCTGGAAGAGAAAAACATATTAATTGATTAAAGCACGTAAAGCGACTTTGTATTTACTTTTTGTTGTGACTGTAAAAAAAGAAGAGCTTCATAACACCCTGTTATGTAATAAAGCCGGCGCTTTAGTTCGAGCATTCGCGTGTAGATGTCAAGCTTGTTTTCTATTGTCGAGCGTTTGACTGGTGTTCGTAGATAAAAGGTTTGGAAGGACGCCCAGAAAGCATACTTACCTGGCGTAGGGGTTACCGTGATCAAGAAGGCGGTTCCCCCAGGGTGAGGCCCTTCCATTGCACTGAGGTCGGGCTGACCCCTGCGATTATCCCTAATGCGGATAACTCGGGCGCACAATTTTTGGTAGTCGGGACTGCGTGCGCGCTATCCCGGCCTTTATTCAATCAAAGCTCATAAACAGTTAAATATCCCTCGGGATTTTCATATTGTAAACCCTCCATAAACGATCCCTTTTCCCTTGTTGCTGACCCCTGTTCCTGCGTTTCTCGGTCCGGATGGTTTCCACTGTCTTTATGATATGTTTATGGTGCTATTCTGTAAAAAAAAATACGTGCTATAGCGCATAACTCTTTAAGCTATCGACTATAAGTAAAAATCGAATTCTCTAAATATTTCTCTATACCTAAAATTCTATAAGCTTAAAGTCTCTATAAGTACTTCTCTCCGTATTTCGCCAGTGATGCTAATTTTGGTTCTCTTATAATTATTGGTATCGTGTATAGTTCAGTGATAGTATAGTTCGTAATAATATTGCACTAATTGCATTATATTTATTATTAAATGAAGAAAAAAGAAGGTAATGTTGTGGACAATAATGAGCTTCTTACTACAAAATCTTTAATAAAAAGAGTGTCTATTTAGAAAAAAGTTATTTTGTAAAAGGTACAAGCAGGTTTTATGAAAATCGGTAATAAATTTTTGTGTAATTTATTAATATGAGCTCAAAGTTGATGCATTTTCTAAATTCTCCTTCGGCTTTAGTTTCAAAATTGTTACTTCTTCAACTCGTTCTTCAAAAACGTTGCAAACAATCCTACTAATTTAATTACGTTTTTTTCTCTTTGATGTTTATGTTGTATTCTCATTAATTTCTTACTAAAAATTAGAGAATGTTTAGCAAATTTACATTACAAATTGTGTCTAAATTTTAGCGGTAGTCTTTTTCTGACTTTTCGTCTTCAAATTTCCAAAAACTGTTCGCGATACTCAATTGGTTCCCGTTTTTGTGTTTTCATTTCTAAATTTTCTTAGACGATTTTTTTGCTGAATGCCATTTTTTATTAATTAAATTAAAAACTGGAACTGCCAATGGATCCAAAAATTACCATGAATAAATTTGTTAAGACTGTTTGACATTTCCACTTAATAAAAACCAGACTTTAGGGTAATTACAGCGCTATAACTCGAATGTTTACATAGACGCTTAGAGATACGATTCTATAAGGACTTTAAAAAAATTATATACAGAGCTCTATTAGCTATGGAATATACCAGCTTATAGACTATAGCAGATTTTTAGAGAATAGCCTAATTAGCCTTTTTAATAATACCGCATAGAGATGGGAACATCGAAAAATTTATATCGATGTTCTGTGACATCGACGATCGAATAAGAAATCATCGATGTAATATATATCGCCACAAAACATCAACACTTAAAAAATCGATGTTTTTTATTGAAAAAAAAATCATTTACCATTTTTTTTAATAATAAATTTTTGGAACAAAAAAATACAAACATATTTCTTACAATTCCTGCATAAAACATAAACAAATACAAATTACAAACACAAAACTTAACCACCTACATCACTTCATCATCGTTAATTTTGTTAAAAAAAACATCGAATTTTCCATACATCGAATTTAAATTTTATCGAATGAAATTTTAAAATTAAAAAAAATTAAAGATAATTAAAAATAATCAACTAAACCAATTTCGATGTATCGAAGTAAAAACATCCATATTTAGAAAAATACTTACACATTTTTAAATCGATGTTTTTACATTGATGTATTCGATGTTAGAAAAACATCGATATTTTTTGCCCATCTCTAATACCGCTTTTAATTAAATATTAGAAAAAAAATTTTTTGTAAAATTTTTAGTGGGTCTTACAAGAACGTATTAACTACCTTTTTTTTCTTTCATATTTTAAACGGTAGCTGTTACAAGTTACAAGCTCATTAGACCGTGTCCTTGAAAGATCATAAGAACCACGGTATCAAAATATCTAAACTCTGGGTCTGGTAAAGAATATGTTTTGGACTAATTTTATTATATGGTGTGTATACTCATGGGTGTAATCCCAACATACCATCCCTTGATACATAAATAACATACATACATAATACATAAATATTTTTCCATAATTAGTCTTGTGGTTTAGCTACACTTTTATTGTTTTTTCCTCACTGATATGTGCTGATTGATTCACTCACTCAAATCTTTTCTTCTTGTGAACGTAAGTTAAATAAATACTTTAGTTTACACAAGAATTCACTATAAGCAAATTTTCTGATATGCCATAACGGAACTGATATTCGATCAAATCAAGTACTTGCCTACATGAAAAAATTAATAATACATACATAATATATTTTAAAAAAATCCTACTTAAATAGTTTGTGTTTCCATATAAATGGAATTAGTGCCAAAATGTTGGTAATTAAAATGCAATTTGGGGAAGCAGATGTGATTTGACTCTCCTACATTTATTGCTTCGCTTAAATATTCGGCCTAACAACAAAAGTAACATTTTGTTAGTTTTTATTGCTCACTTACGATAGAGAATCTTTTGAGTGACAATAATAGTACAAATTTAATTTCTTCCGCTAATCTAAAGTAGATTTCTATATAATTAGAAGATGCCCTAGCTACTCTTGTTTACTCGTTTATTCCAGTCTTTATCCAGTGGAGAAACTCGCATTTTATCGCAATCTTTTGTGAGCTTATCGTGCCCAAATATGGAACGTTAAAGTCGTTTAAAATATGCAAGCACATGTTTTACGATTACATAATTGAATTTGTGTAGACACAGACAACTTCCTGTGAATAAATTACGAAAGTGTTTGGCAGTTCAATGCGTTCAGTTGCATTCTAGTCTAACATAAATGCATTTATGATGCAGTTGAGATGTTTTGAGACAAAATATTACAATTTTATACAACCGAGCTAAAAGTACCGCGCCTAAATTGGTTCAAGTGTGGACTAGCACACCAAGTGGTGAGCAACAACCTTGCTTAGTAATAGTCGAGTGTCGGGCTTTGCCTCACGATGTTTGCCAAATCACATTCGTAACTTGACTCATCTTTATCGATAAAGGAATTTAAAATGTGGCTTGCAGTTATTCTGTTTTTCATTTTTTTGGCGACTTATGTGATACAACAAGTGAAAAAACCACTTAATTTTCCACCAGGTAATTTTTATTTTAGATTTAAAAATCTTGATGTATGGGAAAAAGCCCACATTAGCCATTGTGTCGAAAATTAAATCATGTCCTAGAATTTTCCAACAAAAGAAATAAAATCATCTATTTATGTATGTTTAGTGTTACAGAGAGCTTTTATTTTAATTTTCGTCGCTAAATCTAGATACTATTTTATTTTTATTTAAATACCTGTGCACCATTTCTATGTGAAATAGAATTCAAAAAATTATTATTTGATATTTTACGACTTCTACGAGTACCCAAGAACATATTGAAGAACATTATTTATCGAACACAAATCTTGTTAATGTTTAATATTTTTGTTAGCTTGTTACAATTTTAAACTGTAGTAATTTCTAATCTTTAGAAGAGTAAACATTTGAATCTTTGAAATCTTCTAGAAAAAACAGTTTTGACTGGTTAAATCTTAAATCACGGTTGATATTTTTATTATTTCTACAGTGTTTCATACATCCGTCCCAGAGAAAAATGCCAAGTAAGATAAGATACCAGGAACATAAAAAAAATGTTTAAAAAATTCGTTTGTCAAAAAATTTTGACATTATTTTCAGATTTGGCTTTTTTATGTCTTTTTATTGTTTCTGATGATCTTGTATATTATGTTTTTTCATAATTATTCAGTAAAGGTCCGAAAACGTTACCAATAAAAGCCACAAATAACGTTAAAATTCAGGATACAGCTTTATATTTTTTCTTTTTATAATAGCCTGTAGCACAAAAACATGTAAATTTTTCCAACAGAAATAAATAGAGTCAAAGTGCAAAATTTAAACCCGCATAATTTCGAAACTCTTATTACAGAGATTTTTTTTACATTTTTCCATGTTCCTGGTATCTGATATCCAAATCCTTATTAGTTTTGTAAAGTAATGGAGAAATTAATCATACCCGTACTAAAACAGTATTTAAAATATTTATACTCAATTACTCGTATCAATATTTTTATACATACTACTTTTTATAATTCAAAAATATTCTGTATTTCTGTAGGTACTAAAAGAGTTGTCGTTAAATAAATGTTTTTTGTGTTAGATAATAGATTTTTATTTAATAGGTTATTTTATAAAGGTTAAATCAAATATGGGAAGGTTTTGAAAAGTTTCTTGAATGTAGATTTTCCTGTTTTACTGTCAAATAAGTACCTTTTTGAGATTTATTTGATTCAGTAAAATACCCATCCGATAACAAAACAAATTTTTAAAGAAATAAATAATTTCACCTGATTTCGGAGGTTTTTCTAATTTTTTGGTTATGTCAATTAAAAAGGAGTTATTTTCTGAATTAGTTTCTGACTCTAAAGTTAAAATTATCATTTTAGCAGCAAAAAATTTACGAAGGACTATTAACTAGTAAATACTATCTAATAAACTCTTCTAGAGAGGTTTTATGTTTTAGAGGTTGAACTTATTAATTTTTTTTCTAAGAGAAATCTGTGGGTTAAAGGTTACAATATTGCAAATTTGGGTGCAACTTAACTGGAACGTAAAATTTATAAGAAATACCTATCCAAAACAATGAGGACTTACGAAAAAAGTGCAAAAAATGGCTTTACCAAAAATATTGACGAAAAATGACACACTTGGAAAGAAACACAAAAAATATAAAATATAATAAAATATTTATTTTGATTAAAAAATTTTACAGTGTCGCATTTAACAACTACCTCACTACCTGTTTTTTAGGTCCTTACTGGTTGCCATTTGTGGGTAACCTCCCCCAACTAAAGAAACTCTCTAAAAGCCTGGGAGGGCAACACCTCGCCCTATCACACCTCGCCAAAGAATACGACACAAACGTTCTAGGCCTCAAATTAGGAAACGACTACGTAGTAACAGTTTTCACTTACCCTCTCATCAGAGACGTTCTAATCAGCGAAGAATTTGAAGGAAGACCCGACAATTTCTTCCTACGACTTCGGTGCATGGGCAAAAAAAGAGGTAAAACATCACGAACAATCGACAAATTTCAAGCAAAATTTTCCAGGAATCACTTGCACCGAAGGCGAAGAATGGAACACGTTGCGAAACTTCGTAAATCGCCACTTGCGCAGCTTGGGTTTTGGCAAAAAACCGATGGAAAAAATGATCCAAGCCGAGATTTGTGAAATTCTAGCAATTCTGAAAAAAGACGGGTCTGATATTCAAGTCGACAAGTTTTTGGCCCCTTGCGTCCTGAGCGTAATATGGACGTTAATAACGGGGGAAAAAATCTCGCGAGAAAACAACCAATTAGACGAATTGTTGGATTTGTTCAATCTGCGGTCGAAAGCATTCGATATGACTGGAGGCACCCTCACTCAATATCCCTGGCTGAGGCACTTTTTGCCCGATTGGAGTGGCTTTAATTTGATCAAGTCGGTAAACGCGAGTTTGAAAAATTTGTTCATGAAATATATTCAAGAGCATAAAGATGGGTGGTTTGATGGAAGAAGTGAAGATTTGATTTATCGCTACATTACCGAGATGAAGACTAACACAGAAACCTCGAAATATTTTACTGGTAGGAAATTTTCTTATTGACACAACAAAATTAGATTTTTTTTAGATGACCATTTGGTTATGGTCTGTGTAGATCTCTTCATAGGCGGGGCCCAAACTACAAGTCGAACTTTAGGTTTTGCCTTCCTCATGATGATTATGTTTCCTGAAGTGCAGAAAAAAGTGCAAGAGCAAATTGATAAGCACTTTGATAAGGATTCACCCATTCAGTATTCTGATCGTTACAAGTATGTTTTTTTTAACGGAATCCAGGTTACTAATTTTTGTATTTTTTAAGGTTACCTTATGTTGAAGCAGTATTATTAGAAACTATAAGATATCGGTATGTTGTTCCCATCGGGGGGCCCAGAAGAGTCACAAAAGACACTACATTAAATGGCTATTATTTACCAAAGGTGTTTCTCCAAAGTCATTTATTTCGTGATAATTTTTAATTTGTAGAATACAACAGTTTTAATTAGTTTTTATTCAATCAATAACGACCCGGAATACTGGCAGAATCCGGAGAGTTTCAACCCGGAACGATTTCTAGACGAAAAAGGTTCATTACTACCGGACGAAAAACTAATCCCCTTCGCTTTAGGTCTGTTAATTAAATTCAATCGAAACCATTACATGTTTCTTTTTTAGGTCGCCGACGGTGTGTTGGCGAAGTACTCGCAAAAAATTGCATTTTTTTGTTGTTTGTTGAAATTTTAAGAAGGTACAATGTGTCCTTAGCTCCAGGTTCGAAACCTCCGACTGGAAAACCTTTACCAGGGATTACTCTATCTCCAGAAAGCTATAGAGTTAAATTTACAGAACGATTGTTATAAATATGCATTGAACTCAACAAGGTTAAATGCTCGAATGATAGCCAAATGTAAAGTAGTGACGTCAGACACGTGTTCTAGTCTTACATGTTGCACATTCCAAATGCTTGGAGACGAGTTATGTAACAGTGGTCTGTATAAAGTTCACTGTCAATAAAAACTGATCAATAGTAATGTTGGGAGATTTTTATTTATCGGTTTTAATCAGAATTCAAGGTTGCAGGGATTATAACTGTTTTTTCAAAGCGGAAATATTTACTATTTCAAAATTCTTATAACTAACGCAAAATTTAGTTTAAAAATTTTCTTTTTTTCTTTGAAAGCAGCACAAAAAGCGTAAAACTGAAAAAAATAGTATAAAACACTTTTTAAGGACACTCAAGCAATCGTTTTTAATTCAGGGTGATTCCGTTAAAAGTATATTTCAACTTTATATCAAAGACTAAGTCACACAAAAATCTGCGTTTACCATTAAAAACTACTATTGCATGAGAATTTTTCTATTGTTCCTTATAATAAATGTTAATTTGCTAAATAAAATTATATATTTTATTATCTCTATCATCCTGTAAGTTGGCTAATTAATACTCGACTTCAGCGAATTCAAATGCGTCCATTACGTATTAAGGATCTTTAATTGAAAATAAAACAAAAAAAAAGTTTCAAAATATAATTGCTTCGCTACTCAATAACAACATTTTCACTTTCTGTTTGACCAAACGAATATTACGAACATAAAACAACGGCAGTGAACAATTACAACTTATATACAGGGTGAATCTTAACTCATACGCATAAATTTAGGCAATGAAAGGTTATGCTCAATAATAATAAAAAAAAATTGAATAAAACTTTTTTATTTTTGTCGAATATCAATAACAAATACCACTTAACCCCACCAAAATAAAGAAAATTGATTCATTTAACTATTGACAGGCATTGCGTGAACAAATGTAATGTTGACATTGGTGTCATCAGCGCAAATTATCTAAAATTTTAAAATCTAATAGTGTTTCTAATAGGGTTAAAAAAAAACGGAAATGAAATTTTTCCAAATGAAAATTCGGTTCTAGTTGTCAATTATCAATTTCACAATACCTATCAAAAATATTTCTATCAATGTCATTAAATTTATACCAACTTGTGCAATGCAGCCTTCAAGTGAAGTGGAGAAAGCCAGAATCACGTGGAAAATGGTAGGAAAATTATGAATTAAGCGGCTGGTAAAAAGTACCATCGGAAGGATTAAAAAAAGTGAAAAAAAAGTACTACAATTGACATTGAAGAAATTATTTTTATAAAATACGTTAATTTAGAATTAATTCTGTACTAAAATCGAGCTAAATTAGTTTGAAAATAATTAAATTGTTTTATTTTGGAAGAAAATTTTTAAAGCAGTTATTTTGTTTGTTAAAATACTTTGATTCAGGTTGATTTCCTGCTTAAAATTAAGCCAAGCCGCTTGAAAATATCACAAATTGCTTTATTTCAGCCTAAAAGTAAAAGTACTTTTATTAGATTTTTTTTTTCACTATTAGTTTTTTAGCATAACCTATCCCTTAAAATTATGCGTATTATGTGTGTCACCCTGTACAATAAACGGTATTCGATTCCCCAACAGCTCAATCAAATAAAATATGTCCAACTGTACTATACACAAATTACACACAAAATACTTCAATACAAAATGATTGTTGCCGACTGATAAATTGAAAAGTATTTAAGAAAAAAAGTTTGAAGAGTAACAGTAACAATTGTTAGGAGTCACCTTTATTATTATTCGAATTTGTGGCTAAAATGACAGTGTGTTGGCCTCCTGAACTGACTTTAAAAACAGTCCTGTCTTTTAGTTGTTTGCTTTTTACCAAAGTGGGTTCAAAACAATCATCTTCTTCGCCGTTACCCAATTGGCCATTGGTACCCATACCCCAACCAAAAAGTTCTCCTGTAATTTATATTTATAAATTTGGATGAACAATTTACCTCTTGAATACCTTTATCTGTGACAGCGAAAGAAGTTGAAGACCCACAAGCCACATAAACAACATTATTGTCTTTTAAGACTGGGATTTCGGTTAATTCAGTCGCGTCTTCACAGTCTTTTCCTAGTCCCAAACGTCCGTATTCCTTCCTCCCAATGGCGTAAGTTTTTCCATTTTCAGCTAAAGCTATAGTGTGGTGCTCGGCTGAAGAAATCATATTCCAGTTGTATTTGGAAAATTCCTTGGAAAGTTTTGGTAAATACTGAGGCGCTAAGGTTTTTAAACCTACAAGAAAATCCATTTAGTAATTCTTATTGAACAATGCTTACGAGTTTACCTAATTGGTTATAATTGTTAAGCCCGAAAACATAAATGTCATTTTTACCCGCCACTTTGGCAAATGTGCCATAAGTACCGGTCCATATATTGTCAAAATGTAATTTTAAACTGGGTTTTAGACTGATGATAGTGGGTTCTAGTAATTTCGCTATACAACAATACAACACAATAATCAAAATAGTATTTTTCAATTTAGATTTTGTCCCACCTATTTGTCCCTTACCCATTCCGCTTCTTGCATTCCTACTGCTACCTCTCTCACTTGTCCTCCCCAACTGTCCCTGTTCAGCACGTCCACAAGTATAAACTTCCCCATGGTTTGTTAAAAAAACAATGTGATCGGCCCCTGAGGCTATCTTAATAACATGCACCTCCTGGATTATTTCATAGGGCAACTTTTCGTTTCCTTTCAAAGTCAAGCCCATATTACCATGTGAATCCTATATTAAAAAATGTGAGTGTTTAGTGAGAAAATTCAAAAATTCAATAGGACTGGTCAATAGTACAAATTTCAAATGAAGAAAAAAACCCTTTAAGTAACAAATTGGTCGTAGTCACAAAAAATTGCATGTGACCACAAAAATCGAGTCAAAAGTTTAACAAAAATCACTAAAAACTAAAAAGGAACAAAAACGCTCTTAATCACAAAAATTAAACAAATAATACTGTCCATAATTACAAAAAATTGGGCAAAACATCTCGACAAAAATTAGCTCGCCGTAACGAAAAATGTGGTGGTTTAAGAATTGAACAAAAAATAGAAAAAATTAGCAAAAATCACTCTCAGTCACAAAAAAATAATAAAAAATTGCTGTCTAGTACAAAAAAATAGTCCTGAATTACAAAAAAAAAAAAAAAATCGACAGCGGTCAAAACAATTATTCGTCCAAACAAAAAATAGCCCTTGTCACAAAAAGTTGGCAGTACTTAGTCGAAAAAATAGGTCTGTGATAAGAAAAAAAACCACCCTGAGTCACTTACAAGAAACCGCTCATCAGAACAACAAATTGCTCTTTGTCACAAAAAATTGAATAAAAATTCGGCTGTAATCACAAAAAAATTGTCGGTGATCACAATTCAACAAAAAACGGCGCGATTACAAAAAACTCATTGGAACAAAAAATGGGGTTAAAAAAGCCTTTGGTCCTGAAAAATTGAACAAAAACAAGCGAATCATAATAACAATTTAGCAAAAATTCGCAGGTGATCACGAAAAATTGAGTAAAAATTTAACAAAAATCACTAAAAACTAAAAAGGAACAAAAACGTTCTTAATCACAAAAATTAAACAAATAATACTGTCCATTAAACAACAAAAAATTGGGCAAAATATCTGTTACAGTCAACAAAAATTAGCTCGCCGTAACAAAAAATGTAGAACAAAAGTGGTGGTTCAACAATTGAACAAAAAACAGAACGTAACATAAAAAATTAGCAAAAAAATAATAATAAAAAATTGCTCTCTAGTACAAAAAATAGTCCTGGATTACAAAAAAAAAACAAACAAAAAATCGCCAGAGATAAAAAAAACAATAATTCGTCCGAACAAAAAAATAGCCCTTGTCACAAAAAGTTGGCAGTACTTAGTCGAAAAAAATTAGGTCTGAACAAAAAATAGCGAGTTATAACAACAATTAAACAAAAATTCGCAGGTGATCACGAAAAATTGAGTAAAAAAATTGTTCGGAAAAGAATAGAATAAAAAATTGTCAGTGGTAACAAGAAAGTAAACAGAATGTATTTTTCTGTGTATGGCTCTATCTAAAAATTCTAGGATAATAACAAATGATAATAATTTAACTAATAAGAGTGTTATACATATATTATAAATTCATAGATGGAACATTCAACTTATACTACGCAGATCAATTAAATAATATTTTTTGGATAAATAACCTACCATATCCGTAATGAATATGTATATTTTGTCCGCAAACGTCACAAAAGTGACCACTTTTATTACTAAAATTAAAAGTTTTACTTTTCAGACATGGAGTAAAAATTCTGTTTTAGCTTTAGCGTTTTTACTTTTACTGTAACATTAATTATTGACATTTACCAATGTTGTTTCTTTCTTGCCTATTTCGCAATTGCGGGAGAGGCATATTATAATCATCAGCATTAGACACTTTGCACTACTAACTGCACCACTAACTCCACTAGTTAATGGTGGATTTATGCTTTCAAATTTAAGATTTATCATTTAAGATTTAATTTAAGAATTAACGGATTTGACATTTCACTAAATTTTCAAATTTATACTTCTAAAGTAACCAAAAAGTACTTAATTTAAGGATACACCGATGTAAATCTCTTATTTCACACAAATATTTGTTAAATTAGTCACAATTTACGACAATCTATGAACAGTTCTGACGAGTGCAGCATTTTCCATATTAATTCTTATTATTTAAAAGTTGGCAAAGCTTAAATGTTAAATGATAGTATAAATGTTACCATTGAAAATGCATAATTGATCTTCTTAAATGTAAATTCTTAAATTAAATCTCAAATAAATAAATCCACCATAAATCAATCAAAACTTTCAAAAATCTTAACACACATTCCGAAACTGACGCGAGATGTTTGTTTATGATTTCATTACTTGCGTCATTGTTATTTTGTTCATTTACTTGCTAATTAAACGTTGCTCTTTACTCTCGATCTAAATACACTTGAGTGCAAAAAAAAACGCAAATTGATTTATTTTATAATGTAATTTAGCCTTTTAATAAATACCAGTTTTTTGACGGTGTCTTTGTCACAATTTCATAATTGTCAGGCATCTTCCAAACTTCTATCAAGTTTTTCCATTTCGTTTTTAACACTGACTATGACACTGCACTGGCAAGACCACTAAATAAGAATTTTTTTTTTGATAATTTTCTAACCTTTTTGGGAACAACCTTTTTCACACTATGAAAATCTCTGAAAAATTTGTCAAATTTATTTTTGAACTCAAGTGTACGTTTAAGGATAAAATAGTAAATGTTATTTCGAGTAAAAGTGAATTTAAGTGACTCAACATTCAGCTTCGTCACATAAACTACCATAAACTCCTAATAACACAATGACTATTTTGCCTACATTAAAAAAAAAAAGTTGTGGGAAGTTAATTTGTTTGTCAGATTTTGAAGTGTTCATTATTGAACAGTCCTGTTTTCCCAAAATTTCTTAGAAACAATTAAAAATGGTAAAACATGTATCAATTGTTTTGATGTTCTCTAACATATCCCTGTTTCAGAAAAATCGGAATATCGAGAATTAAAAGTAAAAAAAATTGATAAAATCTTCAGTCAGGGATCCAAGAATAGGACACACCTATTCTTAAATGCGTTCGAAAACTTGGGTCCCTGACTGTAAATATTTATTTACTCGAAATGTCCCCCATGCAAACACTCTCCCATCGTCTAGTAAGGCAGCAGAGTGGGAATCCCCCGCCGAAATCTGGATAACTTTTCCAGGTAACTCAACCTCGCCAGGGGTTGACTCCGCATCCTCTTTTCCTTCAGTAATACGTCCAAGTGCCCCCTCGTCATTACAACCAAACGTTAGTATCTGAAAACACCATAATAAAAAACTGTTTAACACAATCAAGACTAAATTACTTTGCCTTCTTTGGTCAAGCAAACAGTATGCATGCCACCAGCGCAAATATCAACAATTTCATGACTTGTTTCCACTAAAGCGGGCCTACTTTTTTCCAAAACATCCGGTCCAAGACCAAGTTGGCCACAATCGCCGGATCCAGTGACAAGAAGGACCCCTTCACGAGTTGTCTCCGGTAATTTGACGCTGTCTAAAGTGACTAAAACCAAATTTAGGTTTAGGTTAAGTAAATGTTTTTTACAAGTGCTTACATTTTGCGCGCTTGGGTTTGGTGACACTGGCCTCGGTTGTACTAGGACGACGTCTTTTACCAGCCATTGGTTCCACAATTAATAACTAGAATACAACAAAATTATTGTAAAATTGAGGTTATATTGATGCTCACCTCGCAGAGATTGAAGGAAAAAAAGCGGTTTCGGTTTAGAACTGTTGGTGACTTTTGTTTTTTTGACAGCCCGATTTAGTTACTTTTAACGTTTTCCACCAACACCTCGCAAAAAATCCCTAGGTTTTGACGCATTCGTTTATTTTGAGGTTAAATGATCATTGTTGAATAAATTTAAAAAAGTTGTATTGCACAATGGCATTCCGTGTCCAGTTTGAAAATAACAACGAAATTGGTGTTTTTGCAAAGTTGACTAACGCATACTGTTTGGTTGCTATTGGCGGGTCTGAAAATTTTTACAGGTAATTGGGAACGCATGGTTTTGGAATTGTGTTAAAATTTCACGTTTCAGTACATTTGAGGGAGACTTTGCTGATACGATACCGGTGGTGCATGCCTCGCTGGCAGGATGCAGGATAATAGGTCGGATGTGTGTCGGAAATAAGAACGGTTTGTTGGTTCCAAACACGACATCTGATACAGAATTGCAACACATAAGAAATGCTCTTCCTGATTCGGTTAAAGTTCAACGTGTGGAAGAAAGATTGTCCGCTTTAGGCAATGTCGTAGCTTGCAATGACTATGTGGCTCTTGTTCATCCAGATTTAGATAGGGTATAACAACAACATTTTTTGTCATCAAGTTGTGCAATTTATTTGTAGGAAACTGAAGAAATTATCGCAGACACTTTGAAGGTGGAAGTTTTTAGGCAAACGGTGGCTAACAATGTTCTGGTGGGCTCGTACTGTGTTTTGAGTAACCAAGGGGGGTTGGTGCATCCAAATACAAGTGTGGTGGATCTTGAAGAGTTGTCATCTCTTTTGCAAGTCCCCTTGGTGGTATGTTGCATTGGCGAATTTTGTATTTTTTAACGACTGTTTAGGCAGGGACAGTTAACAGAGGTAGTGAAGTAGTTGGGGCTGGATTGGTTGTAAATGACTGGACTGCTTTTGCTGGTATGGATACAACTTCTACTGAGTTGTCAGTAATTGAGTCAGTGTTTAAATTGAGTGGAGCTGTACCTTCTTCAATCACATCGAAGATGAGGGCTAGCATCATTGAGAGGTATTTGGTTTATTAATTTTGAATTTTTCTCTCATTTCGTGTATAATTTTTTCTAGCATGTCGTAAATTAAAGAGGATGATTCTTCACTAAAAGTAAATGTTGCAGACAAATAATACGAGTATGATGTAAAAAATTCATGTGATACGCACTATTCTCAGTTTATGAAATGTTGCAAAAATGTATATCAATAATTTAATAAACAATTTTCTAGTATGTTTTAATGTTTTGTTTCTTAGGAATAATAAAAGACGTGGCACGAAAAAAAAAATTCTGCTGTGTACAGTTGGAGACAAAATACTTTGGTCGTCACATTTCTGACACTTTAATGTAATTGAAGCTTTAATGAATGACAATTTCAAATTAATGACAGCTATTATATCTTTCTATCAAAAATATGTACAACTTGTCAACTATGATTGACAGTAGCTAAAAATACGGTTAACAGTCCTAAAGCATGCTTTACAATTTAATGTCACCCAAGTGACATTGACGACCAAAGTATTTTGTCTTCAACTGTATAAATTTCCCACCCAATTTTAAAACTGCAATCGGCAATTTCTCTCAACTGAAAAAGTTATTAATAATCACTCAAAACCGTTTTGGTGGTTCCTAGGGGAAATTAAAATGACATGATAAGTGACACACCTCCACCCAGCCTTGAATATAATAAAAAAAAATGAAAATTTAACGTCTTCGTTTTTGAATAATTGGAAAAATGGCTTTACCAAATAGGCTGTTGTATGACATTTTTGAAAAGCGCTTGTTATGGGTTTTCTAACGATGTATCGCAAGTAGGGTAGTGCCACTTTTTCTACTTAAGGTGGCTGTGGCTTGAAGGGTGGGTGGAGGAGCAAGTTTTAAGGATATAATTTGCCCGTGTGTTAAATTACCGCGAATCTGATTGGATAATTCTCAGAAATTTGAAAGATTTGATTAATTCTAATTATTGACATTTTGATATTGATATTTTTTTTGGAATATTGTGTACGTTTTGAATAAAAAAGTAATAAACAATACTTAAATATTGTACAATATTCTACAACTGTAGAAAATAATTGTGAAATATACAGGGTGCGCCAGAACTCGCGCCTCAGAGAAAAATGTCATATAAGGCTGAAGATACCAGGAGCATCGAAAAAATGTTAAAAAATTCCATCAATAAAAATTTTGAAGCTATGCGAGTTTAAATTTTGCACTTTGGCTCTATTTATTTCTGTTGGAAAAATATTTTTCCAAGTTTCCAAACAAGGAAGCTTATCCTAAATTGAACAGTGGAAGTTACAAAGGAGCTAAGTGCCAAATTTTCACTTCTTGAGATATTAACTTGACATAGTGATATGTGCCATACCGATTGTCCCTGCAAAAGCGCCACGTGCCATCTCACGTGCCTGTCATGTTCATTAAAAAATGAGGCTATATTAACCAAGTGAATTTAATCAAGTTTTTATTGAAAAATTCAAAAACAGCATTTTGGCACTTATCTCCTTATTTGTAATTTCCACTCTTCAATTGTAACTGTGTTTAATGTTAATGTGGTTTTTATTAGCAAAATTTTTGTACCTTTACTTAATAATTATATTAAAAACATATACAAGATCATCAGTATCATTAAATAAACAAAAAATGTCATATATCAAAAAATAAATGTCGAAATTTTTTGACATAGAATTTTTTCCATGTTCCTGGTATCTTATTAACTTACTTGAAATTTTTCTCCGAGGCGCGAGTTCTAACACACTGTATAAATTTGTTATATTTGAACATCCAGTTTTGTTTCATGTTGCGCAATACATAATAATTGGAGCACTATAGTACATTATTTTTAAACTTTATTTACGATAGTGATAGGTAAATTCTCAGAGAAAAGTATCTGAGAAGTCCGAGAAATATTCCTGAGCCTAAATTTGGGAATTTTCTTAATATGTAGTTTTATACTAATTTCATTATTTCAGTTAAACAAAGACGTCGTTGTTGCAAAAATGTAAGCAAATTACTTGTATATTTTGCATACTATTCGGACCTTGCACGCCGCTGGTTTTTTCACTCCTTCTTGATTTTCATTCTCTGTTAACACAAGCAAAAAAAACAAGTACAATAAACAATAACGAAATAGAAAAAAATATATTCAAGCACTTTTCTACGTCTCTCTTTATAAATATAATTTAAAAACAACAAATAAAACACTGTAAAATGTAATAATAATTTGTTACATGTAAACATCCAATTTTATATAATGTTACGCAATACGCGCAATATCTACGAAATAAAGGCTCGCTGAGCGAGAGTAGGAGGTATAAAACCGTAAAACGCGACTGGCGAATTTAGTAATCCACTAATCAAGTAAAGTAACTGTTTAGCTCAAACTGGCTGTGAATTGTGGTGACAAAGTGGAATCCTCTTCGAATTTTGCGATGTCCAGTGATAATTCAGACTGCTGTGATATAATTCCAACACCCAATTACACCAGCAGGACCGAAAAATATGACTGGTGGCTGTTAAAAAGAATATCAAAAGATTCGTGCCGTTTACAGGGCGACCCACATTTATTATCAAAACAACAATTCAGAATGCGTAAAACAGGTTTCACGTTTGTTTCTAAATCAGCGTTCCGAATACAATACGGGAGTAGCAACGAAATTGGTGCTTTTATTAGATTAACTAATTCGTATTGTCTTATGGGTGGTGACCCCCAACAGTATGAAAAAATCCAAAGGTATGACAAAAAACTCTTAATTTGTTTCCATTTTTATAAATATTTTTTACAGACTTATTGAGGGTGACCTCCGCGGGATTCCCGCGATAAACACTTCGTTGGCGGGTTGTAAGGTAGTGGGACGGTTATGTGTGGGCAATAAAAATGGACTTTTGGTACCTGACCTGACCTACGACACAGAATTACAGCTAATCAAGGAGGCACTTCCAGACTCTGTGAAAGTCTCAAAGATTGAAGATAGATTATCCGCCTTGGGCAATGTGATTGTTTGCAATGATAGTGTTGCGCTGATTCACCCAGATTTGGACCGAGTATGTCAAAAAAATCTAATAATTGATAACTCTGAGCATTTTTGTTAATAGGAAACTGAAGAAGTCATAGCTGATACCTTACAAGTTGAAGTTTTCCGCCATATGATAGCTAATAATGCCCTAGTAGGCTCACATTGTATTTTAAACAACTTCGGAGGATTAGTAAATCCTGATATTAGTAACAAGGAGTTAGAAAATTTATCATCACTATTACAGTTGGCGTTAGTTGTAAGTAAATTAAAAACCTATTACTTTATAAAAATTAAGTATTTAACACATTTTAGTCCGGGACCGTAAACCAAGGAAACAAACTTGTTGGATCTGGTGTAGCAAGTAATGACAGTTTTGCATATGCTGGAATGAAAACCACTGCTAGGGAATTTACTGCCATTGAAAGTGCATTTCAATTGAAAACTTAAAATAGTGGTTCCCTTTTAAAATAAATCTTACGTTAATTGTAACACATGCTGGATAAAAAGTGTACGTTTTGTATAATGCGAAATAACGGCTGTTTCTTTTTTCCAATTAAACTTATTTATGAAAATAAAGTTGTCTTAATTTTCAAGACCTCTATTACAGAAAATTAAGTTCTGAGAGTTTAATAATACTATTGCGGACACGAGATTTTGGATGAGTTGACTGAGATAAAAATGTAAAACAGTCCTATGCAACTAATCTCACTTTCGGTTTTTGTAATTTTTATCCTGATAGCTAAAAAGAAAATGACAACAAATCAAAATAATTTAGAGTTCATAGAAACCAAAAAGGATATCGATGGAAGGGATGCGCAAAGACGAAAACTCGTCGCAGACGACTCCATTCGTAAATATAGGGGAGTTCTGAAATCAGCTGAGAGCAGTGGCGTGTATTCGCACTTATTTATTCGAGGAAAACAAATAATCCACATACTGTAATAAAAATATTT